CATCGCCATCGCCATCACCATCATCAGCATCATCACAATCATCATCGCCACCATGCCCGTGACAATGAACATGACCACCACCATGACCATCATCATCATCATCATCCTCATCCTCATCATTCGCACCATCATTATCATGACCATCATGATCACCATGCTCATCATCAACACTGTCACCACCATGACCAAGCCCATCATCATGACCATGGCCATCACCATCATCAGCACCAACACAATCACTACCATCATCAGCAACAACATCCTCTTCCTCCTCCTCCTCCTCCTGTATGTTCGTGCTCCTGCTGTTCGTGCTGCTCCTGATCATGTTGCTGCTGCTCCTCCTCCTCCGCCTCCTCATCCATCTTCCCTCCATTTTCATTTTCATCCAGGTCTCATGTATGGGCGTTTCAAAAACTGCAAGTCTGGACACGTCGTGCCCCAGACCGGGAAAACAGTTTCGAGTTTCAGCTTCCTGCTCTCCCCAGCCCCAGTCCTCCTTACTAGCTGTCCGTCTGTCTTGTGCACAAGATTGGTTGAGAAAGATAAATGGGTGGCTATTTTTCCGTTGGCATCAGTGGGTCCTCCTCAATGGGCCCCCCAAGCCCCCAAATTGTCTCCACTTTCATTAAAAAGGGCAGCTATTTAAGTCCGTCCTCCCCGGGGTGCTCCACCGCCGGCCAAAACCATTTCCGTGGTTGGCTTGGGTCGCTTTCTGGAGTCGGGGCGCTGGCCAGCTCGTGCCATGCCCCACCCCAGCCGCGGCCGCCAGCGTCGTGCCGCAACGCCGCCCACGGGCTCGGTTTCGTTTCCCGCTTCATGCGGTACGACGTGCCAAAAATCGCATCCCACGTGAGCCCGAGGTTCCACGATCCGTGGTCCCCCCAGCGGAACACCGAGCTGACGAGGCAGAGGAACAAACCTGTGATCCATTTGTTCCTTGCGCACGCCCGAACAGGTCATGTAGTCTGTCCACTCTGCGTGAGCGGTTCCGCCTGCACTCTCTGTGCGGCTGCCGCTCCGTGCGCCTTTGTCACGGCAGCCAAATCCAGTTTGTCCTGCAGCGGCCACCCCATCTGGATTGACTGAATTGTCAAACCAGCGGAGCGCCGAAAACACAGCGCCGGGCACAGAGTGTCCCCGCGCGTCCTGCTCGTCCAAGTAAGTCTTGACGCTGATTTCGGTCACGAATGCAACCTGGCGGCCGCGCGACTCCAGCCACATCATGCATCGCCAAACCTGCCGGGAGCGATGTCTGACCGTGCTCGCCATTTGCGCTTGCGCCCAAGAAGCTCGGTCAATAGTCTGCGCTGGCCCAATCGGCAGTCCGCAATCATCCATGCGGGCGCAACGCCAGCTGTGTTAGCGCACTGCATCCACGGTATGCAGACATGCCTTCAGTTCCGTCTCGTGCTCGCGCGCGTCCAGACTCTCCCTGTCGCGTTGCTGCTCTGCGCGCGGGCGCGAGCTTTTGCCGGGGCATTGTGCTCTCATCGCCGGCAGCGCGCACAAGTTTCCAACCGTGCGCAGCGGTGCCGCCTCTTTGAGGTCTGCCACGGCACGTTTCTTTCGGACTTTTGGAAGCCGTTTTTCTCGAATCGGCGATAACCTGGCTTATCCGGGGGATGGGGGGAGGGAGGAGGGGGCTGTCGCGCTATGGGCAGCCCTGCATATGCCAGCGCCCCCCCCCGCCCCCGACCTGCACAACCGGCAAGGTTAGGTTTTCCTGGGGTGGAAGGGGGGCAAGCCCGATAACCCCGGTTATCGCTGGACCCCCAAAAACTTCTCCGACGGAAGGACCCCACATGAGAATATGTTCAGCTTGCCCTTGCCCTTTTCCTCCTCGCCCTGACGGACGCTCTCCTCTCGCCCGCCGTTCTGCCCTCACCTACTCCCCCTCCTTCTATTTATCCTCCTCCTCCTCCTTCTCCAATTCCTCCTCATCATCACCCCCTCCCTACCCCTTCCCCGTCCTCGTCCTTCCCCTGCTTTTTCTCCGCACGCTCCTCCCCTTCCCCCGTCGGGGCAAACAAATCGATTTTCCTCGGCGCCGTCGCCGCCGCGGCCAAGCATTCCCCGACGGCTGGTTCGCGAAGCCTTTGGGGCAACCCCGCGGGCCGTTGGGGCGCGGGGGCAGGCGGTCGGGACAGCCCCGCGGGCCAATCCGTTGGGAAAACCCTGCGGGCTTCGAGCGGGGCGCAGCCGCGCTCAGGCGGGAGGCAGCATGAACCCAAGCTCTGCGGCGAGCTGCTCGGCCTCATCCCTGGACGTCTCCGCTCTTGTCGAAATCCAGGAGCGTCTTCCGCAAGGAAGCCAGCGGCCCGCGCTCCAGAAACTCGCGCGAGGGCGGCCGCAGGATCAGCATGTTCCGCATGCACGTCGGGCGGAGTGGGGAACCCAAGCGGGTTATCGGCAACCTGTGACGACAGTTACAGGTTGCCGATGACCCGTTCGGATTACCAACATGAAATGCGGGACCCACAGGGAGGGGGTTCCCGCCTGAGACTTCCTCACAATTCATTCGCAGACGAGGTTCCGGCTTGATAGTTCCTCCAAAT